AAAAAAAAAAAATTCCCGCCAAAAAAAAAGAAATTCCCGCCGATTTCCCGCCTTTTTTTAACGGAATGTTCTGGAATTCTCTCCCCCCCGCCCCCCCCCTCCAGGCTCCGCCCGGGCCCCGGACCTGTTCCCGCTGTCGCCCTGCGGCTCCGGCGCGGCGTTCTCGGTGGGCTGCGTGGCCGTGGGCTTCGAGCCGCCGCCCGTCGGCTTCGCCTGGCGCGACCGGGAGAACCGGAGCGCGCCGGGAGCCGCCGCCTTCCCGGCGGTGCGGAGTTCCGGAAGGTTCCTGGCCGCCTCCCGGCTGGGGATGGAGCTGGAGGAGGGGAAGGGCCGGCAGCCCTTCTGGTGCCGGGCCGAGCACGCCCGGGGAAGCCGGAGCGTGCAGGTGTACAACCCAGGTGAGGCTCCTAATAACGGTCCTAATAATGCTCTTAATGCCTTTAAGAATTGGCCAAAAATCCCAGAAAAATATCCCTTGAAATGGGCCAAAAAACCCAGATTAATAGCCCTAATAACGGCCCTAATAATGGCCCTAGTAATGGCCAAAAACCCCAGATTAATATCCCTAATAATGGCCCAAATATTGGCCCTAATATCCCTAATAATGGCCCAAAAACCCCAGATTAATAACCCTAATAACAGCCCTAATAATAGCCCTAATATCCCTAATAATGTCCCAAAAACCCCAGATTAATATTCCTAATAATGGCCGAAAAATCCCAGATTAATATCCTTAATAATGGCACTACTAATGCCCCAAATATCCTTAATAATGGCCCAAAAATCCCAGCTAAATATCCCTAATAATAGCCCGAAAATACCAGATTAATAACCCTAATAATGATCCTAATAATGGCCAAAAAAATCCCACCTAAATATCCCTAATAATAGCCCAAAAATCCCAGATTAATATTCCTAATAATGGCCCAAAACCCCCAGATTAATAACCCTAATAACAGCCCTAATAATAGCCCTAATATCCCTAATAATAGCCCAAAAACCCCAGATTAATATTCCTAATAATGGCCGAAAAATCCCTGATTAATATCCTTAATAATGGCACTACTAATTCCCCAAATATCCTTAATAATGGCCCAAAAATCCCAGCTAAATATCCCTAATAATAGCCCGAAAACACCAGATTAATAACCCTAATAATAGCCCTAATAACCGGAATAATAGCCCTAATAACGGCCCAAAAAATCCCGGCCAAACGTCCCTAATAATGGCCCTAATAATGGTCCTAATAATGGCCCAAATGTCCCTAATAATGGCCAGAAAATCCCAGATTAATGACCCAAATCATGGCCCTAATAATATCCCTAATAATGGCCCAAAAATCCCAGATAAACATCCCTAATAATATCCCTAATAACGCCCCAAATATCCCAGATAATACCCCTAAAATCCTAAATAAACATCCCAAATTAATGACCCAAAATCCCCCAATCCCAAACCCCAAATCCCTAAATCCCAAACCCCCGAAAACCCCAAAAACCCCAAAAACCCCCAAAAACCCCAAAAACCCCCAAAATCCCCCCAAAATCCCGTTTTTTTCCCCACCAGGTCCCGGCTCCCTCCTCCCTCCCGTGACCGTCCTCACCCTCCACCCCCCGTCCCGCGAGGAATTCCAAGGTCCCTACCGGAACTCCACCCTCCTCTGCCGCATCCGCGGCTCCCGGCCCCGCCCCGGCCACGCCCCCATCCTCTGGCTCCGCAACGGCGCCCCCCTGAGCGACGGCGCCACCCCGGAAGCGCCGGCGGCGGAAGGTTCCGGAATCTTCGTCAGCGGCAGCCGGCTGGTGGTGACCGAGGCCGAGTGGGAGCGCGGCGACGTCTTCACCTGCCAGGCCGGGGAGGAGAGCAGGAACACCAGCAAGGCCATGGAGTGCGGATGTGAGTTCGGGGTTGTTTTGGGGGAAAATCCAAGGATTTTGGGATTCCGGGGTGTTTTGGGGGGGTGGGGGGGGAATTCCCGTTGGAGGAGGTCAAGGAATGGGGTTGGGTTGGGTTGAGTTGGGTTGGGTTGAGTTGGGTTGGGTTGGGTTGGGTTGGGTTGAGTTCGGTTG